GATCAAGGTCGTGGCGGCGAAGCATCGGATCGGCACGAAGGACCCGTCTCCCCCCTTCGCTTCGCTCCCGCCACCCGTCGACCCCTTCGCCATCCTGTGGGCCCAGCTCGTGGCCCCATCGTTGCCCCTTCACGAGGGGGGCTGGCCTGGCTTGCCCCTGCGCCGCGGCCCTCCCCCCCCGCCTGGAGCGCTCTAGGCGGGCAGGCGTCGGACGCAGTGCGGCCCTGCTGGCGTCGGGCGGCGAGGCCGCACAAAAAAAAAACTTCGCCATCCTGTGGGCCCAGTTCGTGTTCCCTCGCGGGGTTCTGTCGCTCGGTCGCCGCGCGGTGCCGCCCGTATCTGAAACATGTTGCCGTACGGCATGATCGGCCGAGGGTCGGCGGTACCGGGTCCACTCTCAGAGTGAGGGGCTCAAGCGGTCATTCTCTGTCCCCAGGCGCGTGGCTGAAATGGGGTCCCGCGGGGAGGAGACTGTTGCTGTGGTGCTGAATTCCCTTTGCTAAAGAATAGTCATTGTTGACCCCCCTCCTTCTCCAGGAACTTTTTTTCCCCATTGACGTGCCCCCCTCGGGGCTTGCACCTTGTTTTTTTATTAGTGAAAGCTTGGTGCCACCAAGCTGCGCTGTTGGGCCCCGAACCACCAAAAAACAGCAACACAAACAACAATATAAACAACACCGACAAAAGCAACACACAACAACAAGTACAACAACACCAACACCAACACCAACACCAACACCAACAGCAACAGCAACAACAACAACAACAACTGCAGCAGCAGCAACAACAACAATCAGTTTACCCTCATGCGCGATGTTCCCACACGAAGCATGCGACCAGCATGATAACCATCCCCATCATGGGGGACTATTGTTCTATAGCGGGGTCCGTTATTCCCATTCCCAGATCTCCCGCTCAATGAGGTCTTGCAAACATATCCTCCGAGGTATTTCAACATATCCCTCGCCTTGCTGCGCCGATGCGAGACCGCCAGTGGAGCCCCAGCCAAAGGTAAACCACAAGGAAGAATCGAGCGACAGGATTGCCTTGGTGGGGAAAGGGGCTGTCGGCGGCGAGGCAAGGACCTGGCCCTGAATAGAAAGGGAGGAAGTCTCGAGCAGGGCCGCTGTTGTTGCTGGAAGCGGCGCCAGTGCTGAACAGAGTAGGGCGCGAGTCCAGCGTAAATCAGAGCGACGTCTCGAGCGGGAGCGCTGGTTTTGTTGGGACGGCGGTTGCCGGTGGCGATGAGGAACACCGCCTTGAGTAAGAAGGGAGGAAGTCTCGAACGGGAGCCGTGGTTCTGTCGGGACGGGGGCTGTCGGCAGCGAGGAACAGCACCGTCCTGAGGAATATGGGAGGAAGCCTCGAGCGGGAGCGTTGTTCTTGCTGGGAGCGGTGCCAATTCAAAAGAGAGTGCCAGCCCAGCGTAAAACGGGAGGAAGTCTCAGGCGGGAGCGCTGGCTCTGTCGGGACGGTGATCTTCGGCGGCGAGGAGGAGCACCGCCTTGAGTATCAAAGGGAGGAAGTCTCGAGCGGGAGCGTTGTTCTCGCTGGGGGCGGCACCGATGAGAGAAAGAGTAGTGCACCAGTCGGTGGTAAAACGGCAGGACATCTCGAGCGGTAGCGCTGGTTTTGTTGGGACGGCGGCCTTCGGCGGCGAGCAAGAGCACCGGCCCTGAGTAAAAAAGGAGGAAGTCTCGAACGGGAGCGTTGAACATTATTAATTCTAAAGAATAATTATTGTTGGGACCCCTGGTGCACGGCCCCCCCGCCGCGCCTAGGCCGCAGCTACATTTTCATCATTTTTTCGCGAAAGCTTCAGAAAAGTGGATGGGGTCCAGATCCGGTTGTTTTGTTGTAATCCGTTTTCCCTTGCAAAAAACACTATAAAATGACATTTCTTGTTCTAATATAATCAAATTTCAAGAATCCCTTGCAAAAAATAAGGTAAAGTGGACATTCGCGCGCGCAAGACGAAATCCTTCCAAAACCTTAGTGTTCGGAACGATTTTAACATAAAAACATCAAAAAACCAATGGTTTTTCAACAAAAAATTGTCAAAATCTCATCCCGCGCGCTCTTGCGGATTCGTAGGAAACCCAACACTTTTTAAACATTTCTGTCAAACGGGCTTTTGCGAGCAACTTTTTCGAACTTCTGCGACAACGGTTGCGCACCTGCCAGGGCCATCATCCCTGTCAAATAATACCATCCGCGCATGTGCCCAGCATGGCACAATTGCACCATGCTGGGCACATGCGCGCCCCGAATAAGTGACCAAGTTCTGTGGGTGTGTACCCCACGCCAGTGTAGTAGCCACGGTCGTCCGCACGCCACGAAGTGAAGTGTCCCAACGTCATAGGGCGGGAAGCTGGGTTTGGGTGGTCGCGAAGAGTCGTTTGGATATTTGGTAGAGCTTGTAATGCCCCCCCACGAAGTGGGGGTATTGCCTGGTGTCGTATGAAAACCCTGGCACTGGGGAGAACACCACGCGTTCGGGTAAAATGATTGTTGTTGTTGCTGTTGTTGTTGTTGTTGTAGTAGTTGTTGATGTTGTTGTTGTTGTTGTTGTTGTTGTTGTTGTTGTTGTTGTTGTTGTTGGGGGTCGGTTTGGGGGCCCCCGCAAGCCGCTCGAGCGTGAGCCTCACTTTCGATGAACATGTAGCCGGCGCCGAGGCGAGAGCGCCAAAGCGCCTGGGGGGGGCCAACAATAATAATTGTTCAATAACTCTTCACGCTTCGCGTATCCCCACCAGTCTTTCGCTGCAGCGGTTAGCTGCCACACCTGGGTGCCTACCGTGCCTGGCGTGCACTTCCCCTCCTCTCCTCCTGCTTTTTTACTGTGCCTGGCGTGCACTTCCTTCCCTCCCCTCTTGCATCCTAATGCTGCAGCGGTTTGCTGCCACACTGGGGTGCCTACCGTGCCTGGCGTGCACTTCCGTTCCTTTCCTCCTGCACCCGGGTGCTCTCCCTCCTGTTTCACAGGGTTTTTCCCTGGCGGTGGGGGTCTGCTGCCCAATAGTGCTTCCTGATGGCGTTCAGGTGGTCTGGAATTCATGCAAGGGCTCACACAGGGAACGGTGCTGCGTCGCACTCGCTGAGGTCAGGTGCCCCCTGGCCTGCTCGGGTTTGGCATGTGTGGCTTTGTACGCTCGTTGGCCGACGCTCTCCTGCATGGACTTCGCTCTTGGCAAGGGTTACAGGTTTTACTGCCGTTTGCAGTCTTGTTCTGGTATTCATGCAAGGGCTCTCGCAGGGAATGGTGCTGCGTCGCATTATCTGAGGTCAGGTGCCCCTGGTCTGGAATTCATGCAAGGACACACGGGGCATGGTGCTGCGTCGCAGTCGCTGAGGTCAGGTGCCCCTTGGCCTGCTCCTGGCTGGTGTCGGCCCCCAGCCCGGGAGGTTCCAGTGGGTCTCTCGCTACATTGCCTACCTTACGGTACTTGGACCTCGGGTTCGGCATGTGTGGCTCTGTACGCTCGTTGGCTGACGTTCTCCTGCATGGACTTCGCTTTCGACAGGTGTTACAGGGTTTACTGCCGTTTGCAGTCTGTTCGGTGATGAGGTTGCCCCTCGTCATTCCGGCGCCAGCACGATGTTTCGGCATGTGTGTCGCCTACTTCACGGATGTCGTCTGGGTGTGCTTGTCGGTCCACTTCGTCTTCGACGACGTTTGCCTGACTCACACCGAGCGTTCGACCTCTGCGTGTTTATGGTCGCGCCGCCGCGCCAATTCGGCTGCGTTTACTTGCTGGTCGCCACGGGGATTTCCACGCCTCAGGGTTTGGGAGTATCGGTTCTGCCTCTTCTCCTGATCTAACAGTTCTTTTCGCCCTTCTGAGCTGACGCCCTGCTGCGCTTGTCTTGCTTTTCCGATTATCGCTTTTCCGCTGCCTAGTCGTGGCCGGGCTAAAGTTTGGACGCCTTTTGACCCGTTTCACGAGGCCGTTGACCAACAAGTATCCCCAACAGCCCATTCAGAACACCTGGCCACTAGAGCTGACGGGAAAAGGGACGAAGGGACACATTTGGGGAAACAAAGCGAACAACCAGGATGAACCGAGAGACCTCTGGGAGTAAGGGGGTGGCCTTGGAAGGCCTCTTCGGGCCATCCCTGGGGGCCGCGTGGGGGCGAGGGGAAAAGGAGGAGGAAGAGGAGGATGAGGAGGTGGAGGGATCCAAAGAGTGTGATCCCTGGTGCCGTTGCTGCTGATGGTGCTGCTGATGTTGTTGTTGCTTCTGCTGGTGTTGCGGCTGGTGCCCTGGGAGGCCTGTCGGGGCCATGTCGGACAGCATCGATCAAAAGATGGGGGGTCATCGATTTCGGCCCCCTCCCACGAGCCGTCAAAACCGCCTTTTGGGGCTCTCCTGGGGCTCTTTGGGAGGGTATTGGAGCTCCTTGGGGCTCTTTTAGGGGTCTTGGGGCCCTCTTGGCGCCCTCTTGGAACTCTCATGGGGCCCTCCTGGGAACCCTGGAAGGCCTTTTGAGGCCATCTTGAAGGCCATCGGTCAAAGGAGGGGATGGTATAACGTTCAGCCCCCCCCCAAAGAGGCCAAACTGGAGCCAAAACCGAAGTAGAATCAATGATTTGGGCGCCCAAAGGGCTGGTGGGATAACGTTCAGCCCTCCCCAGAAGAAGTCAAAATGGGGCCAAAACCTCAGTAACACCAGTGATTTGGGCGCCCAGGGCCGGCGGCCCAACGTTCAGTGCCCCCCCCAGAGGCCAAAATGGAGCCAAAATCTTAGTAAAACTAGTTAGTTTGGTTTCCTCGCCGAGGCCGTTTTGGACGCCCTGACACCCCAAACAAGTCCAGGGGAGGGATAAGGGGAGGGCCTCCCCGTAGGGGAAGACGTTTTTCTTGGAAGAGGGAAGAGGAATCTCGCTAGACCATGTGAGCCTAGAGGGCTAGTGGAATTAACATTCAACACCGGCTCCCGCCTGATACTCCCTCACATTGTATTCCAAGATCGCACTCTCGCGAGGGACTTCCTCACAATGTATGCAGACATCGCGCTCTCGCGTGGGACTTCCTTGCAATTT